AGAGGGGGAGGTGGTAGCATTATAGGTAACGCTGAAGAAGCGTTGGGATAGATAGGAGGAGAGCCAGGAGAGAGCGGAGTCTCTGATGCCGAGGGAGTGGAGTTTATTAAGGAGGAGGGGGTGGTCAACTGTGTCGAAGGCTGCGAAGAGGTCAAGGAGCAGGAGGACTGAGTAGTAGCCATTAGCTTTTGCGGTTAGCAGGTCATTAGTGATTTTGAGTAGGGTTAGTTTCGGTGGAGTGTAGGGGACGGAAGCCAGATTGTAGGGGATCGAGGAGGTTGTTGTCAGTGAGGTGAGCGCTTAGGTGATTGTAGACTAAGCGCTCAAGGAGGTTTGAAGTAAATGGCAGTAGGGAGATGGGTCTAAGATTGTTCAGGTCGGTGGGGTCCAGGGAGTGTTTTTTGAGTATGGGGGTGATGTGAGCGTGCTTTAGGGGGGAGGGGAATGCACCAGTAGAGAGGGAGAGATTGAAGATGTGGGTGAGGGAGCATAGGATGGAGGAGGAGGGTGACCGGAGGAGTTGTGTGGGGACAGGGTCAAGAGGGCAAGTGGTGAGGCGGGCTTCAGAGAAGACCTTGGTGACCTCCTCAGTGGTAGCAAGGCTGAAGGAGCGGAGTGATGGGGAGGTTATAGTGTGCGGGATGTTAGGTGTGGTGAGGGGCAGGGCAGTTGCGAGGTCAGAGGAGGGGAGAGTTGAGGGGGTTATCATGGGAGGGAGGCTAGGTGGGGAGGTAGGTTGAGCATTAACGATGTCGGATTGCGGATTGCGTCAATCTTATTTTGGAAGTGATTGGCAATCTTGTGGACGGTGAGTGAGGTACTGGGTGGGGGGGGAGAGTAGGGAGTTGAAAGTGGAGATGAGCCGGCGAGGACTGGAGGAGAGGGTGTTGATGAGGGTTAAGAAGTAGACTTGTTTGGTGGAGGGAGGAGGTGGAGGTGAGGAAGGCGGATTTGTAGAGGGAGAACACTCGAGGGGATCTGGTTTTTGCGCCATAGTCGCTCCAGTGCACGACTGCGTCTTTTAAGGTTTTTAGTGTGGTCGTTCTGCCAGGGTTGGAGCTGTCGGGGTCTAATGCTACGTGTGGTTAGGGGTGCTAAGGAGTCTAAGGCAGCTGATAGCGAGTTGTTATACGCAGTAGTGGCTAGGTCAGGGCATGACAGTGAAAGGATACTGTCGTACAGACGGTCAGCTGCAGAGTGGAGAGGGGCCGGGTTCAGGTTGCAGAGGTTACGGCTGGTGATGGTTTGACGTTTGGGGGGGAGGTGTTAGAGGACGGGGAGATGGAGAACTCTAACGTCCATGTAGAGTTTTAAATGTTTTCTGTAGAACATGTTGAACATCCCCTATGAGAAATAATACACTTTAGAGGTGTTTTACATATTACAAGTTTCCAACCCGAACTGAAATCTCATTTGTTGACATGGAAATACCATTTGTTACATTGTTACACATTGATATTTACACTCATACATGTGGACTTTCCCCAACACCCGGCAACTATTATTATTAACCTAGAGGAAACTTGTTTAACCAACGTTTTGGGTTAATTGTATCAATTGTAAGCAAGTCTTTCTAGCGGTAACACCACATAAGTACTCTCGCAGCTTTGGTTTCCTGTCAGCAAATATAACATTTTTACTACTTACTAAAAAGAAACTCTTGGTTTTTCTGTGACCATCACATAATGGAATATAGACTGATATAGAGCAAGCCAACCACCTTCTGCAATTGTATGCGTCACCATCATCATCATCAGTTACTCACTGACATTTTTAGCGCAGATAAGTCATATTTTATTTCTAGAGAAGAACAAACCAAAACAAAACAGGAAGCTCAGAACAGATCTCAATTGGGCCAATTCATGGATAGTAGGAATCAGTGAAAGTGAGCCAAAAGATAGCCATGGGCGCTGACATGGTGCAGATGCCAGGAATCAACAACAGAGAAGGACAGATCTGCGCAACTACACTTAGAAACTGAGACCAGACTATATATAATGAAGTAAATGTATTAACCGCTTAAGGACTGCCCTATAGCAGATATACTGCTACAGGGCGGCATCTATGAGCAGAATCATGTATATAAACATAATTTTGCATTTCCAGGTAGGAGGCGTGCGTGAACGGCACATGCGCCCTACCTGCACCCACCATTCGCGGCCGCAGATGTCAATCACAGGGTCCCGGTCGGTAATTACCCGCCGGCGCCCGGTGATTACAGAGCATGTCTGACAAAACTATTTTCCTCCCTGTCAGCTCGAGCACACTGCTCGGGATGGCTGTGCACAGTACAGTGAAGAACACTCCCCCCCCCTAGTAAACACTCCCAGCACACAGTTAACCCTTTGATCGCCCCTCACATTAACCCCTTCCTGCCCAGTGCAATTAGTACACCGTCAATGCTTTTTTTTTTAGCACTGATCACTGTATTGGTGTCACTGGAGTGTCAGAATGTCCTCTTAAAAGTCACTGATCACTGCCATTACTAGTAGAAAAAAAAAATCCCATTATCTATACCACCATTTGTAGACACTATAACTTTCACGTAAACCAATTAATTTACACTTATTGGGATTTTTTTTTACCAAAGACATGGAGAAGAATACATTTTGGCCTAAATTTATAACCAAATTTTTTTTACTGGACATGTTTAATAGCAAAAAGTCCAAAATATATTTTTTTTTCCCAAAATTGTCAGTCTTTTTTTACTTATAGCACAAAATATAAAAGACGCACAAAGAGGTAATCAAATACCTCCGAAAGAAAGCTCAATTTGTGGGGAAAAAAGGACGTAAATTTCATCTGGGTGCAGCATTGCATGACCGCGCAATTGTCAAAGTTAAAGTAACGCAGCACCGTAACACAAAAGTGACCTGCTCAGGAATGGGGGGGGGGGTAAATCCTCAGGAGGGCAAGTGGTTAATAGCAAAACAAAGACATCCACACACCAGCAAACAGCAAAAAAGAAATACAGGCAAACCACAGCCATATAACCAAAATATGTAAGTACCAGGATGCCAGGAAGCCTGACTACAAATTAACTGTACACAATATGTACAAAAATGGTGAACAGGGTAAACAGGATAAACAGGGTAAACTGGAGATGTCGGAACAGATGGGAAGGAGGAACCAGGACTGGGATCAGGTACAAAGTGAGCAGAAATCAGGCTGTACAAGATGCAGGGCAAGATAAAGATCAGGAGCAGGATAAATGGCATACAGTGTCTACAAGTAAGCAAAGCAAAACTAGCTACGGGTACAGGGCAGGGGCAGCCAAAACACTGATTCAAAGTGTACTTGCAGGGGAGAGACTAAATACCCGCTCAGCAGCCAGCATCAGGTGAAGTGGATTATTAGAAACTAGGGATGCACCGATATTGGTATCGGTATCAGTGCTGATATGAAGTATTTTCGCGAGTACTTGTACTCCGGATACCGATTTGCGTCAATACCTGTCCAAATCACGTGCTGTATCCCCACTCCTTCCTGTGTCAGCTACTCAGGAACATCTATTGGAACAATTCTTTTTTTGACTGCATAGCATGATACAGCAGTAACATTCTAACACATTTTGGCTGAAGCCTTACTCATAGCATGCAATGAGTAAGGCTTTGGCCGAAATGTGTTAGCATGTTACCGCTGTATCCTGCTATGTAGCCAAAAAAAGAATTGTTCCAATAGATGTTACTGAGTAGCTGGCTTCATCGTATCAAAGGATTACAGAACTCTGTACCTTTAGGCTCCATGTACACTGCAGCTGATAAACTGACGTTCAGGAGCCCTTTCTGCATTTTTTTTCAGCAGCCCCTGAACTCTCCCTAATGTTCTCCTATGTGTCCATGTACACATCATCATTTACAGTCGTTTACAGGCAGTTGAGTTTACAGTCGTTTTTTTTTTTTGAACGCACCAAACTTGTATTCAGGAGTAGATTTTATCAGCGTTTCAAACGCCAAACACTTGCAAACGCGTGTAAATGCGGCTAACCACGTTTATAAGCGTTTGGAAATTTATTTTTTAACTCTTCCATTTCCAGCTTCTGTCCAGAGCCTTTTTTCATCATGAAAAATGCTTGCAAAGTGTTTTCCCAGTACTCAAATGGACCCGGTACACCATACTTTGAGGTTTCGCATGAAAGAAATTATGTTAGACACGGCTGCAATCATTTCTGCACAGAAATGAGCTGGAACACATCCAAACACCACAAAAAAAAAAAGACAGCTAATCTCAACAAATACTGCTCTCTCTGCTTCTACTCTCTGTATTTCTCTCAAAATGGCTGAAATAGTTAATTTTTTACTGTTTTTCAGTGCATTCTGGGCATTTGAGTGGGTCTCCTGAGGTTATCTTTAAAAAAACGCTTCAAAACACAAACGCTCATAAACACGGTATGCAAATGCAGCTAAACAGACATTTTTTAACCTATGTTTTCCAGCAGTCAGAAGTGTCCCATGTACATGGAGCCAAAATCTGTAGTAAACTGAAGCTTGAGAAAAAACACAAATCTCCTGAAATGTATTGTCATAATGTGCTAGTATACTAGCACATTATGCAGGGATTGCCTTAAAGTGTTACTAAACATACAACAGCATGCTTGTTATACTCACTGTGTAACCTAAGGGGTTAATCCTCTGCATTGTGTAAAAATGCTGTTTGATCAGGACTTCTCTGATCCTCTCCTTCTTCCAGTGCTCCCCTCTTATCTCCTGATAAGACATATGGTGTAGAATCATTCTGCACATGCTCAATTTGGTGTGTATTGCTAGAGAGGTTTTTTTTTTTTCTTGGGAGAGTGCATGTGATCAGCACTGGGCCAATCAGCACTGTCCAGACAGAGATCAGGGGTTCTGCATCTTCCTAGAGAAAACTCCTCCTACAAGTTTTAACCAGTGCTCTGCTGAATACTGATAGAAGTCACAAGACTGCTCTAACTGCTGATGAGAAAGGGTATTTAGCAGTCTATATTCACTAAAATTATTTAATTTCCATGTTGTGTGTACTGTGGGAGACCAGATATAGTGAATGCAGGGTCCGGAGAGACCAGTTATTGTGAATGCAGGGTCTGGGGAGGCCAGATATAGTGAATGCAGGGTCCGGGGAGGCCAGATATAGTGAATGCAGGGTCCTGGGAGGCCAGATATAGTGAATGCAGGGTCCGGGGAGGCCAGATATAGTGAATGCAGGGTCCTGGGAGACCAGATATAGTGAATGCAGGGTCCGGGGAGACCAGATATAGTGAATGCAGGGTCCGGGGAGACCAGCTATAGTGAATGAAGGGTCCGGGGAGACCGGATATAGTGAATGCAGGGTCCGGAGTTTAGCAACACTTTAAAATGAAGCCCTCCAGCATTGCGGTGTCCCTGCTGCAGAGGTTTCCATCTTCATCTGGTCTTCCTTACGGGTTCGTGAGTCCTGGCTGCTTGACTGGCCGAACTGCACTGAAGTCACTCCCGCACATGCGTGCAGGAGTCTTGGGACATGGCACAGTGCTCTGAAGGAAATGCATGGGTATGCCGTTCCTCCAGAGTGCATGCGCCAGCGGACAAACAGAACGAATATCTCCTGACCACTGCACGTTTAGGAGATATTCATTTTACCTACAGGTAATATTTATTGTAAGCTTACCTGTAGGTAAAAGATACAAAAGTGGGTTTACTTCTAATTTAAGGGACAATTTCAGAGTGGAACACGGAACATGTTCCCACTTCTGCAGCTGCTGCCTGCTCACATGCCTCTAGTGGCAGCAAGCGGCTCTGCCCCCTCAGCTGTTCCATTCCTTCACAGAATTCTGTGAATGGGAAACTACAAGTGCCGACAGCCTTTGTGGCTGTGGGCTTGTAGTTCTTAATGAGCTACCATGGCGCTGTTGAGTAATATGGTAGTTCATATGGTAGTTTCTTCCTGTTAGTGTGTATCTGCCTGCCCATACGAAGTACGAGCCGAGAGGCACACTAACAAGTCTTCAGGAGTCCTGCATGGCACCAGCGATCTGCTGATTGCGGGTGCAATGCTTTGCAGGCTCCAAGTAAAAAAAATAATAAATGCACATTTTTTTTTTACCTGCAAAAAGATTTAAAAGAAGGTGAACTTATCCTTTAGTCCTCATGCTCACGGGACATTTTGATAACGCTGGTAACTTTAGCTATTTAAAGTCAAGTTAAAAAAACGTGAGTTCTTCAGGTTTTTTTTATTGTTTTTGCATTAGGGTTGTTTTCCCGTGTTTTTCCGCATTTGCGTTTTTTAGCATTTTTTTTTTAACAAAAAAAAACCTTTTTTTTGGTCAAAAAAAGTCTAAAAACACCAGTTTGCAGCGTTTTTACCGTGTTTTGCCATGTTTTCAGTGTTAGAGCGTTTTTACAGCTAAAAAACTCTTCTAGAAACTTGCTAGTCCTGGGTTTTTTTCCAGCCAAAAAACATTGATTACAGTCTATGTGTGCATGGACACATAGGATAACATGCTGGGGGGTTTACTAGCTGTAGAAAAAAACATCAAAAGACAAAAACAGCCGCTGTAAAAACGTCCCGTGTGCATTAGGACTTAAAGCTGAATTACAAGTATGGCAATTTTTACATAATCACATTAGTCCAGCTTGGACCAATGCAAGTATGTTGTGCCATATGTGTGGGATGCCCGTGGAACCTGAAAATCAATGTAGTTGGCACTGCTACTACAATGATCTCCACTAACTTCCTCATCCAATCAGAGAACATTTTGCAGTAAGATAAAATATAAATCATACTTCTGATCCCTGCAGTCATGGCTTCCTTTCTCCAAGGTTCAGAGGGCCTTCACGTTGGTCCTTTGATAGCAGAGGTAATAAAAAAAGGTTCTGGTTGGTTTTTACTAGGAATACTGATATGCCCCATTGTTTTCCTTAGTACAAATCACCTCCATTGTGTGCTATTAAACTAAGTAGAATTATTGACTTCAATGCTTGTTAACTTCATAGCTGACCAAATAGTGGTAACAGTGCAAATAATGACTTCTCTCCTCGGCATTCCTTGGCACAGTCCATGATATTAGGAAATTCCATACAAGGAGGGGTTTCCTCTGATGATAGGGCCATTGTGATATTGCAGGAAAATGTTTCTTCCTCTGATCAGAAGCAGATTTTGTGAATAAATGAGTTTTTCCTTAGAAAAGTCACATGACACATTGTAATTTTTTAAAATCAAGGGGTGAAAATGGGACATCGAGTTTCGCAGTGAGACAATCCATATCAGAAACACATGATCACTATTTCAGGCATAGTATTTCAGAGAGAATGTGCTGAATCTCAGAGAGAGGTGTTGGAGGCAATACACTGTTAGAAATGGAAACTGCACAAGAAATTATGGAGGGAGTTTCAGAGTAGCTTAGTGTTTAGTGCTTATGCCTTGCAGCACTGGGGGCCTCTGTCAGATTCCTGTTCAGGACACTGTATGTGTAACGGAACCAACCCAGACTGCGCTTGAGTACTACCGTTAGAATACCGCTTCCCTCTCCGAACATCGACAACAGACACCACAGCTGACCATACAAGACTAGACGACACCAGTCTTGAAGTAAACCAGGAGGTAGACTAGTTTCTTTGAATACAGATACAAGATATATACACTCAGGGGACAGCCCCCCCCCCCCCCGCATAATGACACAGGGTGGGGCAATCTACATTTAGTAACAAGAGACACACAGGTATTTCAAACTTCACACCAGCAGACAGTCCCATCAGGAGGGAGGGCCGCTGGAAACACCCCCCCCCCCCCCCCACTAAGCTAATACACATAAACACATACATCCCATAATAGTTTGCTCCCAAGCAAGACAAATACTAGAACAATGGGATGCAACCACACAACACCAAACATTCCACAACCCCCCACCCCACCTATCTCCTACACATGTCTACACAATATGAGGACAGATCACCCTGTATCCCTAACAGGCACAGGGTGACTTACACATAAGAGGGATATGGGGAGCTGAGACAGGGGTCTCCCCACCTCTCCAAAGTGAGCTGGGTTCCACGGGCCCCCCACCCAAAGTGACTCTCGTCACTATAGGCATGTCCTACCCGTGCTTACATGGGTTTCCAATGGGTACTTTAATTTCCTCCCTCACTCTAAAAATGTGTTGCAGGTTAAATGGTTCCTGTCTAAAACTAGCCATAGTATGATATTCTACTGAGCATGCCCAAGATGGCTGCCTGAACTCCTGTCCGACCAACACCAACTTGATAAGTACTTTGAGTTCCCAGGGAGATACACAATATAGAAATATAACTAATTGATAATAATACGTAGAATGCAGAAAGTGTGGGTCTTTTTCATAGGGGATCATGTGCAGGAGAGATGGGTATGCAAAAAAGGCAGCACACTAAGATAAGGAAGGGTTAGTTTTAGGGTTACAAAATGAGTTAGTTCCATAGGTAGAGTATCACAGAGGGTTAGGGTTACAGTGAGCATTAGAGTTGGAAAAGGGTTAGAGTGAGGTTGGGGTAACAGAGAGGGCTAGTGTTTTTATGATTAGGGTTTTAGGGGGGGTTAGTGTGAAGGTTGGGGTTACGAGGATGGTTAGAGTGACATGAAGGGTTATGATTAGGTTTACTGGGTTAGCGTGAGAGTTGGGGTTACAGGAAGGGTTGGAGTTAGGGCTACACAGAGGTTTAGTTTGCTGAGCTTCATTAAGGGTTAAGGTTACTGGGTTAGTGTGAGGGTTGGGGTAACAACAAGAGTTAGTGTAAGGGTTGGGGTTACAGAGAGAGAGAATATCACAGCACACTATGGATCTCAAGAACAGGTCCATAGCTTTATTCAGTGATCACATCATTATAGCAGAAGCAACATTTCGGAGCCTCACAGGACCATCAGGCATGTGGGTTACAGGGAGGGTGAGTGTGAGGGCTGTTGTTACCGTGGAGGGTTAGTGTGATGGCTGAGGTTTCACAGAGAGACAGAATTACAAGAAGTGTTGGGATTAGGGTTACTGAGTTAATGTTGAAGTTACAGAGAGGGTTAGTGTAAGGGATGAAGTTACAGGAAAGGTTAGAGTAAGGGATAAGGTTGGTGTGAGGGACAGGGTTACAGGAAGAATTGGGGTTGGGCTTGCAGGAAGAGGTAAAGTCACAAGAATGGTTGGGATTAGGATTGCAGGGTTAGCACAAGGTTTGGGTTTACAGGGATTGCTAATGGAGGGGTTGATGGTACAGGGAGGGTCATTTGAAAGGTACAGTATACTGCAAAACCTTGAATGAATAGTTGGCGCTCATCTGTTTTCCTTGTTCAGATTTGATATAGTATGAGTAAGAGACAGCAGGACCACATAGAAGTTGAGAGTTACAACACCACCACGTGTGTGAAAAAGGTGTACAGGTATCAAAATAGTCAGTTTATATCCACCAATGTGGCTTGCAGGCCTTTGGAGGTCAGATGATGTCATGGCTTCTCTTCATCTTCCTCCAGCCCAGACTAGCTTGCAGGGGTTAGGTCCATGATGACCTAACCCATTCAACTCAGAAGACAAACAATGCCAGACTTTAGAGCAGTGAATCTGGAGAGGAGGCAAACATTGCAGTGAGAGTTGCTTTTTTTTTTATTTATTTTTTTTCCAGGCAATGAATTTTCTTTTGGAGCTTCATGTTTAACATACAACTCCAAAAAACAGCAAAAACAACAGAGATAGGAAATTCAATTCCGCAGTCTATGAGCCACTGTTTTCAGTTTGTCCTGCTCTTCGGACCAATAACAATTGCCAAGTGAACAATGCTCACTTAAGTGCCAAAACCTGACTTGAGCTTTTACCCAGTGTATGGAAAACAAGCATTTGTAGGAACCTTTTATTAAATTAAGTTCTGCCTGTGAAGACAAGACTTAAACCTTCACCCTGTTGCAGAGCTATGGTGGCTGAAGAATTTTTTGCATCTGACACTTCCAGAAGTGTCAGATGCCTGGCTCCCTTCTGTATGTTCTTATAAGATAGCAATGTTTTGGAGACATACAGGACTCTTCATTAGTCATGTGCCTTTCATGATGAAGGGGTCCTGTGTGGCCCCAAAACATCACTATAGTCTTCCGTGATGTGATCAGTGAATAAAGTGTTGGACCCTTTTATGGTGTTCCCTGATGTGCTGCTGACATAGGGCTTGCCTTGAAGGTTTTTTTGGTCTCCAACCAGTGATCACTACAGGGCCCTTTCACTTTTCGGCCACATTCAGTACCATGCATTCTGCAAAAAATTGCTTTGGGCCTCTGCATGCTATGGTTTCTTACACCAACCCCTACATCAGTATAGGACACTGTAGTGACATAGAGATCAGTGGATGGAACCATAGTGTTTAGCAGGGGAACCAGGTATCATCGACCCATCTGGAAGAATTCCTTAGCTCTGCAACAGAGAACAGGTACTGTACCTGTTCTCTGTTGCTGAGCTAAGGAATTCTTCCAGATGTGTCGGATACCTGGTCCCCATGCTAAACACTATGGTTCAAAACCTCCAAACAGAAGCCTCAAGGTCAATACTACTTAGTAATCCAGGAGTCTCTAATCAAGAATCCAAGAGTAAACCAAGCTAAAAACGACTAGTTATGGACTCAATCCTGGTTGAGTCCATAACTATTAATTTTTAGTTTGGTTTACTAAACAGACTGGTTGCAGACTGTACACATTTATAAATATTTAACTTAGTGAACAATTTGCTATAACTGCAATTATGGTCCCTTTAGACTCTTCCTGTGCAAGTAATGTGGATATAATATTGTGGCAGTGTGGAGAGATTACACAGGATGTCCTGATATAACTCCTTCTACCCAGGGATATACATGCCAGTGCTAATTTTACAGGGAGGTTTTTCCTCCTTCTGTGATATCAGCCTCATTTGTTCTAGCAGAGTGGAGGGATAAAACGAGAGGAAAGTCAAACATCCGTTTTTTCGCTCATTGAACAATAAACTTTAGGGCATTTCTGAGTCATAAAACAAATACATCCGTCAAATCGCTGGCAGATATGAAGAAATGTGTACATATTGTTGACCCTCCGTAACATTTCTATTTGAATGGATTTTTATTTGAATGGATTTTTTTTTTTGCACATGACTAAAGTGTGCAACAGTCTGGAACAAGGACGTTCCGTGTTTGCTTTCGTTTTCATGCACAGACTGACAATTATGTTTGACATTCAGCCTGGTATCTTAATGGAATTAAAATAAATGTATTGTTCTGCATAATGCTATGGGGTTTTTTTGGTACCATAAGTCCAACATTTTTTCTGTTTATTGAAAAATTTGGAGTATACTGTAAGTGCAGTTGTGGCACCCTGGCACATAATCCACAATTTAGTTACAAATTACAAATCATAAGTGGAAGTCCCCTCATGCTCCCACATCAAGTTTCTGGAAACAGCTGGCAATACAGTTCTCCCTCTATATAAATACACTTATGAATCCAGGGGGTGTCCCACTAAATTTACGAAGGTGTGGCATATCTGGATTGACTCTTCCAAGTCGGTTCCTTCTAGCCCTGATTAGGATCAAGTGGTGGTTGTCTACCTCTATCGCAAAAACCCTTTATTTCTTTTTTTTTTTTGTTGTTTTCCTTGTTTGTTCCTCGGTTTGGGTTGTCTGTGATCTTCTTCTGTAGGATTTGTCTTCTGCCATATATACGCCCTGTGATTTCATGAATGCGGTTGTCGTTTGTTTGTTGTTGTTTACCTTAACTGTGTGTTATGTTTTTCCTCTGTTTGTTTTGTTTTTATTATTTGTGATTTGATCAAGCCTGGGTATGCCCAAATAGGCTTTGTTTTGTATTCTCTACTTTATAACTCAATAAAGAGAATTAAAAAAAAAAATTACAAATCATCCCAGCCGCTCCACGGCAAGATTCCCATCACTGCTCCAGCAACTGAAGGATGCAGACTCCAGGACGGTCCATGATATGCGAACATCAGTGGCAGAAAAAACAAGAATGGAGCTGCTCAACTTCCAGAAGTCCAGAATACATTTAATAATATCATCTGATACAGGAGAAGTGCACCTACTCCTACGCATTTCACTCCATCAAGAGTTTAGTCAAAGAGTTTGAGTTTTCTATGACTGAGCTTCTGATGGAGTCAAACGCGTAGGAGCAGGTGGACTTTTCCTGTATTGGATGATATTAATAAATGTACTCTGGATTTCTGGAAGTTGAGTGGCACTAGTCTTGTTTTTTTTGTGCCACATTTAGTTAAAAAAACCTACAACATTTATCAGAAATAAAATGGTTCCCTGAGGATGGATTGATAACACTAGAGGAGAATAGAGCATGGACCCTATCTGTGCACAGCAGTGGTTTCTGCTTGCCATCTTCCTGGTGATCCAGACTGGGCAAGCTTCATCTGTAGACATTTGAGAGGTGGGCATCTAGGCAGCCGTGTTTATAAAGTGAAAAGAAGACCATTACACAGCAAAAAAGCACAAAAAGCAGCCATTCAGAGGGAGAAAAATAGACAGCAATATAGGCCAGAGACAACGTATATGAGACAGATTACTAGGCAGATTGTAGGCAGAGAGTAGTTAAGCAGTAGTGCAGGAATAGAACTACAAAAGAATATACAGAGAAGCACCAAAAAGCTGAATATAAAGACTAGCAATGCAGAGTGAAAGTTTGGTGAGCCCAGCAAGCATTGAAATGTCAGTGACAAGGAAACCACAGCAAAAAGTCACTTCCTCCTTTTCAGTTACAAGAAAAGCATGAACGAAAGTGGAGTTTTTTAGGGATTGATAACATTTTCTGGGACAGTTTTATCATTTTATCAAGTTAATAAGGTTTTATACCGAAGCTTTGCAATTTTCAGAAAAATGTCTTTACAAGTAATGATTACAAGTAAATATTTATTAGTGATGGCGAACACACCAACGGTAAGGGGCGTTCGGCGGGCTGTTTGCCCACCATGCCCCACAATACACTGTGCTCTGACAGTGCATTGTGATTGGCCAAAGCAATGCACCTGACCACAGGTCAGGTGCAATGCTTTGGCCAATCACAGCACAATTGACGTCACCTCTAGCTCCGCCCCATTGCTTACATCTAACCAGTAACTGTCAGATGCAGTGAGTGCTCAGCGTGCAGAAGGGTCAGCAGGCATGGGTCTTTTTTTATTTTGGCGAGTCAGAATCGTGATGACAATGCTGAACGCAGAGATTGACGATGGATTATATTGATGGAACCATTTTTTTTACTTTTTTTCTTTATTAATCACATTGTACACTTTTTTGGTGAATGGGTAGGGGTACTATGTACCCCATACTCAATCACAAGGGGGGGTGGGAAGGGGGGGCCCCCTTGTTAAAGGGGGTTTCCAGATTCTGATAAGTCACCCCCCAGACCCCCACAACCATAGCCCAGGGTTGGGGGAATCGGCCCTTGTCCCCATCAAAAAGGTTGACAAGGTGCTGTGTGGGGGGAGCCCCCCTACCCTAAAGTACCCCTCCAGTACCCCCAAATGTGGTCATGTGGCTCATTCTCCCCCTCCCTTTCCTGGCCTGCCAGGCCTTTGCTAGGATAAATTTTTGTGGAATGGGGTTCCCTTTTAAAAGTCCTACCAGGCCTGGTATGGCTTTTAGGGGGAACCCCATGCACTTGAAGTGGCCCTTTAACCCCTTATACCAAATTCCATCTTGCCTTGTACTATCACATTTGTTAGCATGGGGTAGGATGGATATTACTACTATTATCCAAACATTGCTCAGTGAGAACCCTCCCCCCCCCCTTCCCTCATCATCCTAGCCCCCAGTTCTGGTATCTAATAAGTCTATTTGGCTGCAGAAATGTAAACTAGTGAATTATATTTATTTCTCAAATCGCTGCATTGTTTGCATTATAAATACATATTGACACCTTAAAGGTTCTATCAACAAATTCTTATTATAATAGAAAGATAGATAATTAAGGAAATGTCACCCAAGATACCATATTCCTTCTCAGGGGCGGACTGACCATTCAAGGGCCCGGGGTCAGTAGGGGGCCCCATGAGATGCCCCTGGTACCTTTTATTGGCTTTTTCATAGGCTTTTTTGGGAGTGGGCGAGGGCACAGGGGCCCCATGATCCCCTATTGCCCGGGGGCCCCATGAGTTGTCAGTCCGCCCCTGTTCCTTCTTATAAAGTGAAACGGTGATAGTTTTTGTATTGTAGGTGTATAATGGATGTATACATGACAGATACTGGGGAAACATACAACTCGTTGTAGTCCTACAGTATGGGTTATTTCTATGCAATACCAACTTTTATCCTTGTTGTGTCCTGACATTTTTGTGCAGGTATCTCATGTATGTCAGGGCCGGATCTAACCTGTCCGATGTGGGTGCTGTTGAAAATGTCAGGGGGGCAGATGATGGGAGATCAGCAGGGCAGAGGACAGGGGTCACTACTAGCAGGGCAGAGGAGGTCACTGCTAGCAGGGCAGAGGACAGGGCTCCCTGCTGGCAGGACAGAGGACAGGGGTCACTGTTGGCAGGGGCAGAGGACATGGGTCACTGCTGGCAGGGCAGAGGACAGAGGTCACTGTTGGCAGGGCAGAGGACAGGGGTCACTGCTGGCAGGGCAGAGGACAGGGGTCACTGTTGGCAGGGCAGAGGACAGAGGACAGGGGTCACTGCTGGCAGGGCAGAGGACAGGGGTCACTGTTGGCAGGGCAGAGGAAAGGAGTCACTGTTGGCAGGGCAGAGGACAGGAGTCACTGTTGGCAGGGCAGAGGACGAGGCACAGCTCCTTCTCCCATCCCTGCACTGCACACAGCCTGGCCATGGGCAGCAGAGCTTCTCCTCCCCACACAATGCATAACTGTGATTAATATAATGTCAGTCAAGAACAGTATAGTGTCAGGCTAGGGCAGTATAATGTCATAATAGGGCAGTAAAGAACCAGATTAGGGTGGTATTGTGTCAGTTTAGGGCAGCATAGTGGCAGGTTAGGGTAGTATAGTGGCAGGTTAGGGTTGGCTTTGTGGGGGCACAACTACAACCTGGAGGGAGCATAACCAGCCCCAGCATGATGTATGCCAACAATTATCCTTTTGTACTGTGAAAAACAATAACAACTGATGAATCATAAAAAGAGCCCACAGTTGTGCTTTAATGTTCTATTACTCATGTTACGTCAAAACTTTTGATTAATTGTTGTATCCTTTCTACATCTATCAGTGATTGTTTTCTACCCCTTACCTGGCTGTATCAAGAGCTCTTGGCTATAAATTCCAGTGTATTTAAACACAGTATGAAGAGAGTAGAGTGAGTCATTGCTTCTGCCGGTTCAATCTTGTACCTTTTAGGAGATAAGCAAATATTATCCATTCATAAATGTAAGAAACAAGTACAAAAAATAATGTGGATTATGAAATCCATTCAAATAAAGGAGCTTTGAAATATCTTGATCCGATTGTTATTTGCATAGTTTGCTGTAAACATGCTTACTTTTGTATTATGGAAATATAAAACATTATATGCTGGTTTGAATACTTTTGTACACTTTATAGATAGACGTTGTATTCTTGTACTGTATAATTACAATGGAGAAAATGTTTCCTCTACAGAAAAGGGAATATATATATTTTTTGTTCATAATTACCTTGTATATATATTATAGATAACATCTACAATTTTAGATTTATTATTTTATTTTTATAATTTGGGCAAAAATTAACTATTTGCTCATTAAAATGTTATTTCCAGCCAACTTTCTTTTCATATTATATTTTAATATATCTACTCTTACATGCTCTGTAAAAAAAAAACTGTTGTTTACAAAGCACAATAGCTCAAGTTCATATATAAACATATACCTTAAAAACTCAGAAGGGTGATCTATCTCCCATCCTTTGTATAAATGCATGAGATCAGAGAGCAAAACAAGCAAATTTAAAGCTGTGCTGGCATATACAGTATATAGAGGCACAGATGAATAAAGCTCTATATTTAAAGCTGTATTAAACCCAAAACAAAAAAATATAATATAATGCAGCTTACCAATCATTAGATGTGGTGGCTGCAGTCATTTTTTTTTAGGTTTTTTTTTCCCTCTTTCACAGTATGATCTGGCCAGTAACATACCTCCTGTGTTAGACTGCCCTACTTTGGAGGAAGGAGCAACTGAGACACCTTTGGACAGTGACATTGTCAGTCCAAGTCAGTGTTTCTCAACTCCAGTCCTCATGGACCCCCAACAGGTCATGTTTTCAGGATTTCCATTATTTTGCACAGGTGATTTGACCAGTTTCACTGCCTTAGTAATTACCACAGCTGTTTCATCTGAGGGAAATCCTGAAAACATGACCTGTTGGGGGTCCATGAGGACTGGAGTTGAGAAACACTGGTCTAAGTGGAGGGAGTGTTAGATGTACTGGAAGAATAGGGCCTCATTCACACATGCATGCTACAGTATACACCTGTTAGAGGGCTATGCTTTCCTGCACAGGGATGCAGAGGTGTTCTGTGCATTCCCTTGCAGGCAGCTCCATTGAGGTCAATTGGGACAGTCTCTGCACAGACACAGTCACTATGTCCCAATATGACATCTGTGTGGGTGCTCATGTGTACAAGTGTGTTCCCCCTAACTCACCCTGTCTTCGTTCAGGGGCAGGCATCTGCACCCACACGGGTGCTTTTTCCCCCTAGTTCATAGTCCATTTCAGCAGCAAGCAAGAGAGGTTTTCTAAGTTCCTACACACAGTGGGACCATGGAGAGCGAACATAGCCACCCTCTAACAGGAAGTCAGAATAAGGTAGCAAAAATCAACAAATTTAGAGATTTGAAGGAGGCTGACAGCAATAGAAGGGACTCTTTTGAGTTAAGAATATATATATAAATATATTTAAATATATATATTTTTTTTTTAAATAGAGTTTAGTGTCACTAGACCAGCTTTTCTCAACTTTCGTAACAGAGAGGAACCCTTAAAATAACTTTCTGGTCTCAGGGAACTCCTGCTAAAAATGACTCTATCTACAACTCATGATAAATTGGTGTGGTGGCCAGTGGGAAGAATGTTCCTTACACTTGTGGACATTGGGAAGAATTACCCCCTTACAGATAGAATAAAAAATCAATGGTGTCAGTGGGAACTTATCTGAGAGGCAGAAATTGCTCATTTCTGAAGGAACCCCAAGAAACCTCTGAAGGAACCTTAGGGTTCTATGGAACCCAAGCTGAGAAACCCTGCACTAGACTGTGTTCAGGTTTATTACTAAAATTGGAGGGTGCAAAATCTGGTGCAGCTCTGCATAGAAACCAATCAGCTTCCAGGTTTTATTATCAAAGCTTAATTGAACAAGATGAAATTAGAAGCTGATTGGCTTCCATGCACAGCTGCACCAGATTCTGAGTGCACCAGTTTTAGTAAATCTCCCCCATACTGTGAAAAGATATGTAGACTGTGCACGGCAGTGTTCAGCTTGCTTCGCAAACAGAGTGTCATGGAAGCACCCCATATTAATTATTAGTAAAATATGTACGTTTCTATTCAAAAAAAGAAATTGGCCATTTTTGTTAATTCAAATAAATAATTACAATCAACAAAATCATTATAATTTATTTTAAAAAATGTTATAGGCAGCCTTCCATAACCCCGTTTAATTATTAGTAAAATATGTACATTTCTATACAAAAAAATACATTTACCATTTTTTAAAATTCAAATAAATAATTACAATCAACAAAATCATTATAATTTATTTAAAAAAATGTTGTTATAGGCAGCCTTTCTTAACCCCGTTTAATTATCAGTAAAATATGTACGTTTCTATACAAAAAAATACATTTACCATTTTTTTAATTCAAATAAATAATTACAATCAACAAAATCATTATAATTTATTTTAAAAAAATTTATAGGCAGCCTTCCATTACCCCGTTTAATTATCAGTAAAATATGTACGTTTCTATACAAAAAAATACATTTACCATTTTTTTTTAATTCAAATAAATAATTACAATCAACAAAATTATTATAATTTATTTTAAAAAATGTTATAGGCAGCCTTTCATAACCCCGTTTAATTATTGATTAGTAATTATTAGTAGAATATGTACGTTTCTATACAAAAAAAGAAATTTTACCATTTTTTTAAATTCAAATAAATAATTACAATCAACAAAATCACTATAATTTCTTTTAAAAAATGTTATAGGCAGCCTTTCATAACCTCGTTTAACAAGGGAACATCTGATTTTAGGTTTATGATGTACAGTACATTTATCTTACAGCGACACAATGTACTTTTAAAGACAGCTAAAGAAAGTTCATAAAGTAAATAAGTAACCACTTCACAGGAAATGAGAGAGATTACAGAACATACCAGAGTTCTGGGTAGGTATGGGAACACAGAGCAGCAGCTGACATATACTGTACATTTCTATTCTTCATAAAACATACAGAATCCTTATATTTGCCTTTCACCTGAATTCAAACTGACAACCGTTTTTTATTGTGCAACCTGCATATCCCAGAAGATAAAGAGCAAAGATAAACACAGGAACGTGCAACAGTTATTATTTAATTTTTTTTTACATTTTTCTGTTGCTAATAAATGGATCAAAGGGACGTTAGTGCAAGGCACAATGCTATTCCAGCCGAAAAATGTATATAAAAATACATAGATTGCGTGATATAATCATACCTTATTTGTTTAAGGCAGTGGTATGATTTCCAGTTTATTTTATTACTTCCTTCCTATTCGAAAGAGAAAAAACAAATTAGATATTAAAGGCCAACTCTGGGCTATCATCCCTAGGTGTCAAAGTTAAAAAAAAAACTCAGTTTGCAAATCTCATCTTCAATCCGAAATTGTGTCCTGCAGTATGTCTTTGGGGTTGATTTACTAACACTGGAGAGTGCAAAATCTGGTGCACCTCCGCAAAGAAATCAATCAGCTTCCAGATTTTTTTTACAAAGCTTAATTGAACAAGCTGAAGTTAGAAGCTGATTGGCTACTATGCAGAGCTGTGCCAGATTTTGCACTCTTCAGTTTTTGTAAATCACCCCCATTATGTCATCATTTTTTTATTATTTAACCGCTTGCCGAACGCTCACTGTAGCTTTACTGCTACAGTGCGGGCTGGCTGATATAAATCACAAATATATATATATACAGGGGCGGACTGACAACTCATGGGGCCCCCGGGCAATAGGGGATCACGGGGCCCAAACTCAAAAAAGCCTATGAAAAAGGTACCAGGGGCATCTCATGGGGCCCCCTACTGACTCCGGGCCCTTGGGCAGTGCCTGAGTTTCCAAATGGTCAGTCCGCCCCTGATATATATATATACATATATTATACAGGATTTATATAGCGGCAACAGTTTGCTCAGCGCTTTACAATATAACGGGAGACAATACAGTTCAATACAGTTCAATGGTAAACAACACAGATCTCTATATTGACAGCAGAGATGTGTCGGCTTTTGTCTCCCTGTAAAGGAGGGAGACAAAACGTGTTGCATCCCCTACTAAAACAGTACACACATCACACATAGTTAGGCACTCAGTTAACCCTTTGATTGTCCTAGATATTAACCCTTTCCTGCCCAGTGTCATTAGTACAGTGTCAGTGCAGTCTATTAGCACTGATCACTGTAATAGTGTCACTGGTCATGTCATTGTCAGTTATCCATTGCCTGCCATACTATTATAGCCCACTATAAGTTGCGGATCACTCTTATTACTAGTATAAAAAAAAAAACATAACTGTTTACCCCTCACCTCACCCCTTCAG